TGTTACAACCCTATCTTATGTATATATGTAATTGTGTCCCGATTAAAAGTAGTGTCGAATTATGCAAGATAATCGCTGGATTAGCCTTGTTCCGTGGGGAGAATCAGCCCGTATGTACCGGTTCTATAGAACCGTCTCACGGAATTTTTTGAGATCAGCGAACCGGTTAGCATTGCTGGTGATTGTCAATGACTTTTTGTAACAGAACCGGCTGAAAAAATATGACTTTTGTGATAGAACCGGTTGACAAAAGATTTGAATCCCACCACTGGCTTTGCTACACCTGTAGTCGTGCTGTGAACTCAATAATAGTGAAAAGAGGATGCATTGGGGGAAATGACTAAACTGGTCGTCATAAGGCGGTTAGATCTGCTGCATTTTTTTTTTGTTAGAAGTCGTCGCTAAAAAGGATCTAGCTGATTGGGATTCAAAAATAATTTGTGACTTGCAAATAGTATACGCAACGAATATAGAATCGACATGCATATGCAGGGAGCCATCAAAACTGCATTGTCCAACGGTACTTTGGATCGTCAAATTGGCTGTCCCAATCGAGTTCCAAGTGTATTTGACGTTGCACAGGATGTTTGTCAAATAAATTTCGAAACAAACCCACCATGCAAGCATGCAATTCCAAAATGTAAGCATTTAATAACTCGTTGAAAATTTAATTTTATGGCAGTCAAGTTGCACGCCTGCTTCGGGAACATATTTTTTAAGACGCAAATCACCAGGCAGATGGCATTTCCTAGATATCACGAAATAGTCGTTTACCAACATGGTGGCATTGAAAACTGCACAACAAAATTGTCTGTCTAACTATCTCGCATACTCGACAAGACGGGGAATATGATGCTATAACAGTCTACAGCAGGGTCGTCCAACCCGTGGCCCCCCGAAGGTTTCCGAGTGGCCAGCGCGATATTATTTAAAGCCCGATGTCTTCCACAAATCTTAGTGACTATTGAAACCTCTTATTTCTCTCGTTCCTTTCTTAAGCAAGTACACACTGTGTTTTATTGTGCTAGTACTACACTGTTTACATTTGATTTTCAAGGGTTTTATACATAGCCGAACCAAGAATATACGGCCTATCGACAACTTTTATTAAGCACTACAGGCTATTTACTATCTAACTACATAAACTTTGTTTCTCTTAAATTGTAGAGTTTTCACCACTAACAAGTAGAGATGAAATCGTTTTTGCAAACATTAAAAAGGACAAATTCATGCCAGAGGGACGTGTTTGATACTGAAGAAATGATTCTGCCCATTTCTTTGCGTCAAAGGATTAGTCTGAAAATAATTCGACCTACGAATCGTTATGATGTTTTCATGTTCTACTCTCTATAAAATCTATTCAATGTTATTATTATTTAGCCTGACGCTTGTGTATTGCACAATATGAACATTTTTCCCACATGAGTTAAACAAAAACATATACGAAGATATATGCTGTTTTCATGACGTGTACTTGCTGATTATATAGATTCTAAAATTTATGTCAATAAAAATGCGGATTACTTTTCCCACAACTATTCGGCGTGTTTGATTGTGTATGTGTATATAAAATAGCGCGCGTATTTGCATGTTTCCAGCCTAAATTTTTGCAATCTTTTGCGTGCACACACTATGATGTTTACGATTGTTTATACTTTACCGAAAAAATGAAAATCAATTTATCTATATACTACACCCAAATCCCATACCAGAAGTGCAAATTGAAGAAAGTCGGCAATTTAATTATGAAGCACCGTGCTATCTTGGTCCAACCATCACGTGAGTCGATGACGACATGAACGGATTATGACGTAAATAGAAAACGCGGGAGATATGAATTCGTTTCCAGCATACGGGCGTACTATCCGCAGTTTAATTATAACCTATCATCAGACTGTCGTTTTAAAAACCAAAACAAGTATTCGAATTAATTCAAGCTAAAGCTATTCTATTTACAGATAGCCCTTTTCAATCAAATATTGTGGGTATATTTTAGGACATTTTAGCGCGGGTTTTGGGCATATTTCAACTAGCATTTCAACTATCTATTTTTGGAGTGATATTTCTTATTGGTTAATTCAAACTTTCAAATTTTGTTTCGTGTATAATTTATTATGATCACACTACGAGATATCTATAGTGGACTTAATGGCAAGCGAATACAACTATTGCTAAAATTAGTTTAGTGACAGCGTTGTATTCATTAGTCGAAAAACGAAAGTCAACGCCATACTTATTTTTAAAATATGTTTTAACATTACTAAGGTTATTACACACCATTTTCGATCACCTATACTCATTTTATCGATCCGACACTATTGCAGATCCGCCATAAATTAGACAAACAACAGAATTGTTCGACTATACTAAAAACCCCGAATCGTATTCAAGAGGTCATTGGTAACATATAATAAAAGTAAACAAAAAGTGCGTGCATTTTATTTTTGTACACTCATTTACGGTTTTTATTTACGAAACTTAGCAAACGTTATTGTATAAAGTTTACTAATTGGTTCTTTCAGTATGACTATAAACATTGCACGCAATGTTAACAAAATATTATTATTGGTGATAACCCTCGAATATTCAATCACAAAACAAATAACTTGAACTATCTTGATTAGCTAGGAGACGCGTTTACAACTAATGGAACCATCTTGACGTCAAAATATTTTATACCAGGTTTTGAATTTAAACACAATCTCATATCTGGGAACGTATTTTTATAAATACAAAAAAAAACATAAGTAAGTCGAGAATTATTTATTGTGCACCGTGATATTTTAGATCAACATCACGTGAGTCGACGATGATATGAACGGATCATGAAGTAAATAAAAACGTGGGAGATTTAAATTCGTTTGCAGCATACAGGCGTACGACCCAGTTTAATTATGGCTTTTTATCAGAATTTCATTTGAAAACAAAACAAAGATCGAATCAATTAGGCTAAAGCTATTCTATTTATAGATAGTTATTTTCGATCAAATAGGTGGGTCTATTTTAAGACATATTACCGGCGTGTTTTTGTGAATATTTCTAACTAGCATTTCAGCTATATATTTTTGGAGTGGTATAGTCACTATACTGAGAAACTCTGACACCGTATTCAGGGGGTCATTGATAAAATATAATAATATAATAAAGGTAAACAAAAATGTACGTACATGTTATTTTTGTACACTTTTACGCTTTTCTTTGCGAAACTCTATCAAAAGTTATTTTAAAAAGTTCTCTGATTGGCTCTTTTGGGATGAGTAATTAACAAAATGGCGGTGCTTTATTTCAACATCTTTTTCTAAATATATCAGACAAACAGGATAAAAATTTCAATCCATTAAATTTATTACTTAGTTTACAAAGCTAAATTTAGCCATTATTATTGGTTAGGTTGATAACCTTCGAATATTCAAACACAAAACAAGATAATTTGAGCTAATCTTGATCAGCTTGGAGATGTGTTTGAATATAGATCCATCTTGACGTCATGGAAATATTTAATATCAAGTTTCGAATGTAAACACAGCATCAAAACAAGAGTTGATTTACTACACTGGAATTCACTACCGAAACTGCATATTGAAGTAACTCGACAATTTAATTATGATGAACCCTCATATTTCGGTCCAAAATCACATGAGTCGATGTCGATATGAGCAGCGGATCATGACGTAAATAAAAGCGCGGAAGATTTAAATTCGTTTGCAGCATACAGGCGTTCTACCCGTAGTTTAATTATAGTTTATATCATAGTATAGTTTAAAAATCAAAACAAGAATGCGAAGTAATTAAAGTTATTCTATTCTTAGATAGTTGTTTATAATCAAATGTGCTGTCTTATTTAAGACATATTAGTGGCGTATTAGTATCGGTGAATTTCTGTAGCTAGGATTTTAATGATCTAATTTTGGATTGATGTTTCCTATTGGTGAAATCAAACTTTAAATTTTTTTCCCTTGTATAGGATCGCTATAAAAGATATCAACGTTGTATTCATGAGTAAAATATTTATTTTAAAATAAAATGTTGTATCATTACTAAGATTATCACACACCATTTTTATAAGTATATCTGGTTATATATCATATGTACTGCATATTATATTTACAGTCATGTATATTTCACCATCGTGATCGCAAAAACTGTGATTCGGATTTTTATATATGCATGCAAATTTAATTGTGACCACCAGGCCATATAAAATGAACAAAACAAAAATGAATTACTAAGTACAAATGAAGCCAGGGTAAACACAAGTGAAATTTTGGATAAAATATCGCCTTCGACGACCAAAAAACTATAAAAGCAATAGCATTGTAGCGGCCTTTCCCATCTTCAAGAACGGAAAACCTGAAGTAATTAGGTAGACAAGAAAACGATTAATTTCACATAAAAGGTGACAAAAAATGTGATATTCATATTGGCTTCAAAAAACTGAGTGGACACTCATTTAAATTTATTGACCCGACACCATTGCCTTAAAACAGACAAACAACAGAATTTGTTCGACGCTATTGAGAAACCCTGACATTGTATTCAAAAAACATTCGTAAGATATAATAAAGTAAACAAAAAGTGCGTGCATGCTATTTTGGTACACTCTGACGCTTTTCTTTACGAAACTCTAGCTAAAGTTATTTTAAAAAGTTTTCTCATTAGCTCTTTCATTATGACAATGCTAACAAAATGGCGACGCTATATCATTTCAATAACATTTTTCAAATATATCAGACAAATAAAATTTTAAACCGCTAAATGTACTACTTAGTTTAAATTTAGCTATTCTTTGTTATTGGTTAGTTTGATAACTCTCGAATATTCAAACACAAAACGAGATAATTAAAGCTGACCTTGATGTAAATAGAACCATCCTGACGTCATCGTGATAACATTTGGGACCAAGTTTTTCAACGTGAACACAAACTAATATAAATTCTACGAAATGTATTGATATAAATGAAAAAAAAAAAAAACATTTATTTTGGGCAACAAAACAAGTGTTGATTTAGTATAAATTAGGTCACTTGTGCACACTTGTCATCAGTTGATAAACGACAGTGAAAAAGCGATTACTCAATTGTTAAATCGTATTTTTATTGATTTGCTCGGTTGAAAAAAAACTCGTTTGTCGACAGCTATTTGTGATAAACTCAAAAATACAATATTCTGAAATAATGAAGATACTGGCTGCTTTGTGCTGTTTCGTGGTCGTAGGTAAGATAAATTTTTAAATAAGTTCTCATATTGTTTTAAATATAATAAGCAAAATTCAAATTCATACGACTATATAAATATCCAAATATTCCAATAATTCAAACAATCAAAAGCTCATTACCTAAAAAGTTTAGTATTAGTGTCATGCCTTTCCAATTTTAAAAAAAGAATCCTATTGAAAATGCAGTTGATTAAGGATTTTGAGTTTTGTACATGGCTAGTTCCAACAAGTATAATAGAAAACTTTAATATTTATCTTCTTCTCAGTATCTTCATATGGTGGAGAGAGGAGACAATATACTCAATTGGGAATAGGAAACAGAGGTATTTACTTTTGTGTTTTTTAATTGTCAAAAATAGTAACGAAAGAAAAGGAATTCAACATAATAATTAATGCTTCTTTATCAGCGATTTCTGTACCAAATTTCTATTTGTTCAAAAACAACAATCATATTCTTGACGTGGAATTGATTACATGATAATGACGCTAAATATATTTGTTCAAAAGGTAACGTTGGACCAAAATCATTTGGATACGGCCTTAGACGAGAAGCATACGGATGGAGAACAAGTAAACCAGTTTTGTTCATGCGTAAACGTCTACAAGAAAGAGCAAGATCCGCACCGAAAATACCAATCCCCTATCGACCAAATCTGTTTAAACGTTCTCCCCCAGGCATTATGATCAAAAAACAGGATAAACCAGAACCATTATGGCAGCGAGCTGTAAAAATTCTTTTCGGCATAAATAGCAACAAATACCGGCCGAGACCATTTGGTATTCCGGGGAATGATGACAAAAGTAGACTTGGACCATTTTGGCGCCGAGTAGATGTTGATAGAAAACCCTGGCCATTTGGACGTCGTGGAGATGAAGGCAGACTAGGGCCTTTTAGGCGACCAGGAGATGGCGATGGTGATAGACCTGGACCCCTTCGACGTAGAGAATATGGTGATAGAGATAGACCTGGATCTTTCTGGCGTAGAGGAGATGGTGATAAAAATGGACCTGGACCTTCCGGGCGTAGAAGAGATGATGATGGAAATAGACCTGGACCTTTCGGTGGTAGAAGAGATGGTGATGGAAATAGACCTGGACCTTTCGGGCGTATAGGAGATGGTGATAGAAATAGACCTGGACCTTTCGGGCGTATAGGAGATGGTGATGGAAATAGACCTGGACCTTTCGGGCGTATAGGAGATGGTGATAGAAATAGACCCGGACCTTTCGGGCGTATAGGAGATGGTGATAGATATAGACCTGGATCTTTCGGGCGTATAGGAGATGGTGATGAAATAGACCTGGACCTTTCGGGCGTAGAGAAGATGATGATGGAAATAGACCTGGACCTTTCGGGCGTAGAGGAGATGATGATGGAAATAGACCTGGATCTTTCGGGCGTGAAGAAGATGATGATGGAAATAGACCTGGACCTTTCGGTCGTAAGGAGATGATGATGGAAATAGACCTGGACCTTTCGGACGTAGAGAGATGATGATGGATAGACCTGGACCTTTCGGTCGTAGAGGAGATGGCGATGGAAATAGACCTGGACCTTTCGGTCGTAGAGGAGATGGCGATGGAAATAGACCTGGACCTTTCGGTCGTAGAGGAGATGATGATAGAAACAGACCTGGACCTTTCGGGCGTAGAGGAGATGATGATGGAAATAGACCTGGACCTTTCGGACGTAGAGGAGATGATGATGGAAATAGACCTGGACCTTTCGGACGTAGAGGAGATGATGATGGAAATAGACCTGGACCTTTCGGTCGTAGAAGAGATGGCGATGGAAATAGACCTGGACCTTTCGGTCGTAGAGGAGATGATGATAGAAATAGACCTGGACCTTTCGGGCGTAGAGGAGATGATGATGGAGATAGACCTGGACCTTTCGGTCGTAGAGGAGATGATGATAGAAATAGACCTGGACCTTTCGGACGTAGAGGAGATGATGATGGAGATAGACCTAGACCTTTCGGTCGTAGAGGAGATGGCGATGGAAATAGACCTGGTCCTTTCGGTCGTAGAGGAGATGGCGATGGAAATAGACCTGGACCTTTCGGTCGTAGAGGAGATGATGATAGAAATAGACCTGGACCTTTCGGGCGTAGAGGAGATGATGATGGAAATAGACCTGGACCTTTCGGACGTATAGGAGATGATGATGGAAATAGTCCTGGACCTTTCGGACGTAGAGGAGATGATGATGGAAATAGACCTGAACCTTTCAGACGTAGAGGAGATGATGATGGAGATAGACCTGGACCTTTCGGTCGTAGAGGAGATGGCTATGAAAATAGACCTGGACCTTTCGGTCGTAGAGGAGATGGTGATGGAAATAGACCTGGACCTTTCGGTCGTAGAGGAGATGATGATGGAGATAGACCTGGACTTTTTGGGCGTAGAGGAGATGGTGATGAAAATAGACCTGGACCTTTCGGTCGTAGAGGAGATGATGATGAAGATAGACCTGGACTTTTTGGGCGTAGAGGAGATGGTGATGGAAATAGACCTGGACCTTTCGGTCGTAGAGGAAATGGTGATGGAAATAGACCTGGACCTTTTGGACGTAGAGAAGATGGTGCTAGACCTGGATCTTTTGGACGTAGTGGAGATGGTGATGAAGGTAGACCTGGACCCTTTGGACGTAGTGGAGATGGTGATGGAGATAGAACTGGATCTTTTGGACGTAGAGGAAGTGGTGACAGAGATAGACCTGATATTTCCGGGCGTGGAGGATATGGTGATAGATATAGACCTGGACCTTTTGGGCCCAGAGGAGATGATGATGGAAAGAACTTTGGAAACATTATGAAGAGAATTCTGAAAGTGATACATAAAACCTTCGGAAAAAAAGAAAATGATATAGACACAAATAACAAAAAATGCAAAAAGCAATGTGAAGCAAAGGAAAAATGCTTTGGAAGAAAAGATTTTGAAAAAATGATGATGCTGTCGCCCAAACATTGCAAAGCATGCATGATGAAAGAATGCCAATTTAATATGGGTATAATTTTTTATCACAAACTTGAATATTTTTATTTTTCAATACTATGCTGAAACTTCTTTTACTTTAAAATCAAACTTAAATAATTAGTTAGAGAATACTTGTTTATTGAATATAAAACTCACCAGTAAGTTTCAAATAATCGGTTCCAATTTCGGTATGACTTCCGTAATGTTGTGTATGCCAAACAAAATGTTAACAACGTTAATGTTCTATTTTTTCATATGTTCCAGATCGTAAATGTTTCATGGATGCTCACAAGAAATGTGACAACATTTGCCCAGTATTATCACAAGAGAAAGTCGAGAATAAAACGTCCTTTTGTAAAACATGCATTGAAAAATGTGAAGCAGAAAGTAAGTAATTGGTTGTAATATTCTTTTTTCTATCATAATAGAATGAATAACACATTCAACTTATTTGCCGTTTTACAATTTTATAGCAGGAAATATAATTCTTTTTGCATATTTAATCAAATTGTGAGTTTGAACAGATCTAATTCATTTCTATTTTCAGTTAATAAGAATCAAGAAAACTGTCTAACTTTTTTTAAGTAGGCTATTCATGAGGAATACGTAAATTATCAAATTTCTTTACCAGAGTTCAATGTCCATGAAATATATATGTATGTTATAACCTTAAATGAAAATGTGCCATGTAATCTCTTTCAGAAGTGGTACCTAAAAAATACATCACTGAAAAATCCAATTCCTCTTGTGGAAATTATAAATTGAGCATAACCAATTTAACGTACTTTGGATATTGCGTTCGGCAAAAATTGTTCAGATTCATAAGGATAAAATGTTTACTTTGTTTATGCAATCCTGAGCAGACGAACTTACCTATGACAATGACGGAAAAGCATTTGTTTATATAATGAATAGGTATAAAAATATGTAATGATCCCATAGTAACAAAATTATTTTGTGCAAAAAGGTCAATGAAGACGATGATGACATGCCGGAGGATGAAAATACAATCGACGATATCTTAGAAAAGGAAAAGGAAGATCTAGAAGATGATAGCCATGATGGAAATGATGAAACCGCAAGTGAAATAGAAGTTAGCGATGAAGATGAAGTTGGAAATGATGAGATGACTTCTGATGATATAATGTCAACTACGGGTGGTGATATGGCATCGGATTCTGATGAATAATAATTCCGATTCAGCAACGAACGTTTTCTCTGTGGAACAGTTTTAAAATATTCAAATATATCTAAAATTGTTATGTAAAATACCTAAAAAGGTTGGAGCATTAATGTGTTGAGAGAATATGCTAATAAAACCGTATAACAGAATACAAAAGTGGAATGGTTTACTTACATATGTGTCCCTATTGAAACATAACGCGTTCACATGAGAATGATTGTCTAATTCTCATAGATTAATTTGGAGTCTTTGTGCTGTTGCCACAATTAAATAAAACAATTCCGCACCATGGAATATGTACTACAAATCATTTTGTCGTCAGGTAACTTAGACAAAAAGCGACTGACCTGTTGTAAGATTTGTCTTTTAAATCGACTCATGACCAAAGTCGTAGCCTGACCAAAATTTGGGATGGGGGCTAGTGATGTGACTTTTAATTTTAAGTAAAAGCTACATATGTTCTAGGATATCACCTCCTGAAAAATGAAGCGGCACAGTTAGTTTCGTAGTCAGGCTTATTCAACAACTATAAACCTACAAACATGAAGTCATTGCTGAGCGCAATTACGTCTTGACCCGTTGCATGCTTGAACAACGGGTCGCTTATCCGGTCAAAAACACTTACGGTAAATCGTACACAAAGAAGACGAATATATAAATTGGTCGTTGGAGCTTGCGTACCTTAAATATTTAAAAAGCATTTAACCTCTGATTTATGCTATAAAGGGGTGAGGCCGCTAGATCATGCAGTGGTTTTAATATGGCCGCACAGTTCTTGACAAAGCGGTGGTAGTAACATACTAGACCAAGAAAAGATCGAAGTTTATTTGAAAAAGGAAACTTGTTGATTGTTTCAAACTTTGAAGATAGTGAATAGATACCCTTCGATGTAACGTGATGGCCTAAAAAATCGATCTCTTTTTTCCCGAATCACATTTATAAACATTCAGACAAGTTCGTATTTCGAAAGCGTAAGGAATGTTTCTTAGTGCTGCCGATGTTGTTCCTCAGTTTCGGTTGCACATAATATATTCATCGAGGAATACAAATATATTATATAAACCAGAGTTACTTCCGACAGAAAACGAGAAATGATGAACAGGCCATTGCACAGACCGAATCGTAAAATTACTGATTCAAACCTCCTTCAGGACAGATGAAAGCAGCTTTCTTCCTATAGATTGATGAAGAGATATTTGATGATATGCTCTTAAAGGTCACATTTGCTGAAAATAGTGGCAATCATGTAATTCATTGGTAAAATCGCCGCATGTGAGGAATTGGCCATCTGTCTTTTATTGTCTGATTGTTAAGGAAATATAATCGACTTTAACGATTTTGAAAAATTACACTCATTGCATTGTATTTAAAGTATTTTTGTAGAAAACTGTAGAGGTTTTCTAATTTTTTATGTGATTGGTAAGGAAATGAATCCAGCTATTCATACCCAAAATATTTTTGAGCCCCAAAAACGAATCTTTCTCAAATTTTGTGTCAATTTGGAAAAATTTACGTTATTGCGTTCTATTGGATGTATTTTGTTAGAAAACTGATCGAGTTTTTTTCCAATTCTTTTTATCTGATCAAAAAGATGGTGAAACCAGCTATCCATGCCTATAATATTTTTTGAGCCCCAAAGACGGATCTTTTTCAAATTTTGGGTGAATTTAACGATTTTGGAGAATTTACGTTATTGCGCTCTATCAAAAATATTATGTTACAAAACTGATCGAGTTTTTTTCCAATTTTTTTACATGATTGGAAAGAAAATGAATCCAGCTATCCATGGCTAAAATATATTTTGAGCCCCAAAGACCGATCTTCTTCAAATTTTAGGTCAATTTAACGATTTTGGAAAATTGACGTTATTGCGTTGTATTTGAAGTATTTTGTTCGAAAACTGTTTGAGTTTTTTTCCAATTTTTTTTTTCGATTGAAAAGGAAATTCATCCAGCTATTCATACCCAAAATATTTTATGAGCCCCAACGACGGATCTTCTTAAATTTTGAGTCAATTTAACGATTTTGTAAAATTTACGTTATTGCGTTGTATTTAAAAGTATTTTGTTAGAAAACTGATCGAGTTTTTTTTCCAAATTCTTTACATGATTGGAAAGGAAAGGAATCCAACTATCCATACCCAAAATATTTTTTGAGCCCCAATGATCGATCTTCTGTTACACCAGGATCAACCAGAAATTGTCGGCCGCTTTCTATCGAAAACGTAGAGAAGATTTGTTGTTGGACAATTGGAATTAAGTCTATTAAGTGAATTTATATGGCGTTGTGAAGATCTTTTACAGCGCTCTAGGCGAAAAGGGACCCCGACTGGAAAAGGTACAGCGCAGTACGCCGTTGCGTGCTAGGTTTCCATAACGTTGATGATACCAGCAAACTGTTGGAGTATTGGGTCGGTTATTTCTGTTGTTGGCGTTGTAACCTCTTGTCCTTACGATATGATGATTGGTGATTTTACATAAGGGCACTCTATGGATTCACAAGACTCGTGCGTTCTCCGTTTATGACACGTACATGATGTTGAGTTAACGCATCAGAGCTAAGAGAAGTAAGGGGTGCAGCTTTCGAAGACCAATGCGTAGTGTTATGCATTATATTGTCAAGTTCGTTTTGAAGATTACCAACTTCGACATCATTGAGCTAACTACGACATGGAAAGAATTTTTACTGTTGTCGACGCTATAGTCGGGGTTTAATGCATGATTTTTATAAGAAATGGGATTGGCAGATTGTAAAGATCGTCTGGCGAATATATATATACTCTCAGCTCGCTAGGCTAATTTATCGATGGTATCATCCGGATGGACAGAAAGAGCTTAAACAATATCTGGCGGTAGTTGCTGAAAAAACATCTCCTTCAAAAATTCGTTGTTAGTGTTCGGAGTATCATTTGGGCAAACGGAACTGCGTAGCTTTCTTAAAATTACGGATAGTTTGAGATTAGAGCATCCTCCGTTGTAGATATCTCGTAAGCGATCTCTAAGCGGGACGGAGTAAGTATTGATCAGAAGTTCCCGCAAAAGTCGATAACAACTCGGATGATGCTAGCCTAGTAGGTGCGAGCGTAATTCCTAATTGGCGACTAATATTTGTCGACATCAAGGTTTATCCCTCCCTACCATGCGGAATCCTGCTTCTGTTGATGTAAACCACGAGTCAGGGGTATGGTACCGAAACTCATTAATTTGGAGTAATGGACGCGGTTGATAAATAAACTGTGGTTGTGGACGGACCTGAACAACATTATTATTGAGCGAGCCGGCAATAGGTGTGCTACCTACATCTATTTGTAGCTCAAACTGATTCATTGCACATTCTGGTGATTCCTCGCTATTATTAGCAATTAAAACCAAGTCAGTCTGCGTGCTTTCGAAGGAAAATTGTCTTCCAGTTAAAATACGTAGCATCTAATGATAAACAACGTAAATAAAAACAATGGGCTAAAACGCACGCGACAAAATGGTCCTTTAAAGCTAATTATAAGAGCCTTGAAATTAATAAATTCAGTCAGTTCCAGGAGTAAAATCTATAAAAACCTCGAATCCAGTTTCTTGAGGCTGAGGCTTGTCTGAGTTTGAAGCTTGAAGTTGAACTTGAGCACGCCGGGGTCACCAACTTTATGTAGGATTCGTTGCTGTTGATTCCTAAACTCCGCGTGCCGAGACCACACTTCCTTTTAATTGTCCGCTTAGAAGTCTCTAATAAAATGTGAAGATCTTTGTTGTATATTGTGTTAAAATCCAGTAGCAATAAAATGAATAAAACACTAAAAGAATTTAACTTGTTTGAGTACTAATGCTGAAGTTGCGTGGGGGTTCAGCGTTGGAAGTCGAGTGTCCGAAAAGAGCGCGTCCAATTTCGTATTCAAAACAGAATCCAAAACGTGGCAGCGCTTCACGGGTCATGTGACTCAGGCTTAGGTGTCGCTATACATATAATCAGTGTAACTTTTACTACATTTTCCGAATGATAATTTTACTCAGATCAAGAGGCTTACAAATCCTAAGAACAGAATGGGAAAATTATCAGTGTTTGGAATTACATTGGAAGGGAACAGAACAGTATATTTCCCAGGCGATTTCATCAAAGGACAAGTATTGATTCAAGTAACTGAGCCAATGAAGATGAAAGGTAAGGAGTGGTGGTCTTGCGGTCTTATAAAAATAATAAATCTTATAAATATTTTAGGTACCGTGCTTTGATTGCAGTGAAAAACGTGGATAAACGTCATATGAATTCATTCATTAATATGTGTTGTATATGTAACATCGTGTTAGAGTTTGGCCAACTCGTGCTCGAATATTGACATATTAAACATAAAAATGTTTCCATTAAAAACAGTTTTACTCCTATTAAATTTGACATTGTGTAGTTTACTTATCAGTAAATCTGAGATTAGGCTAGATTGTTTTTATTATTTCGAGAGTCAATTCGGTAGCAACGAAAATAAATGATCGTTATTAATAATAATTATGCAATATCTTGGCTGCAGTGAGTTACGCGACTCGTATCATATCCTCCTCCTGAATATTTTCCGGTTTTGTGTGTAGATTGTCATTGTTTGAAAATATCGAAAGTTACTGGAACTCACTGACACAAGAGAAAATGATTAATTAAAAGGTTCTCACTATACCATGATTTGTTTATAGCGTTCACAACGCATTGGGTATTAATTAGAAATTGTACCACTTTATGTCAATATCGAATTATCCAAAACGAATCGATGGACATAACTAGGCTATTTTATAACGTTATTTGTCCTGCCTGTGCCCCGAGGTGTACATACATTGACTAATCTTTCTTAATCCTACTTACTGTTCAGCTATTAAAATCATGTGCGTCGGCAGAGCATACGTTCATTGGACTGAAACACGCACAACAGGATCAGGCGAAAATCAACGAACCGAAACTGAAAATTATTCTGAAACTGAGAACCTATTCGAACAGACTATCATCGTACACGGAGAAGGTAGGTAAAAAGTGCAACAAACAGTGGTATAATTGAGCTTTATAATTTACCCTAATAAGAAACTTTGTGCGCAAATACTTATATGTGCAAATGTTGTTATAGCCCAAACTTGAAATAAATATGATTTGCCAATGAAATTTATAGCAGTATTTTGCATTTCTATTTACGCAGGCGCCAATGAACAGACTAATCTTTCACAAGGACAGCACGTGTTTCCATTTCAGTATCAATTGCCGACACCACTTCCGTCGTCTTACGAAGGTAAGGACACCAATTTCCAATATCGGAGCTAACTGTGATCATTCATTTTCTGTAGGCAATTATAAATAAAGAACGTTTAACAGGATAAATGTCGAAGTTAAGAGCAATTTCAAGTAAATGGGATTGGGTGGAAGGTATTCGCATCCAAACTTTGGAAATACTACGGCGAACAGTGAATTCTTTACACTCCTTCTTTTTTAGAATTCTTCCATCTATAAGTACTGAAAATTTGGAATAGATTGGTCCATTAGTTGCAGAGAAGAGCAGTTTTCTTGTCAAACAGTTTTAAGCAACCGTACTCCTAATTTTTTTTTTTTTTGTTCTTTGTGCCAGTTGCGTTTTATTTGCAATAAAAATTGCTATTCGAATTTTTATCTGCAACGTAAATTACCCGAGTTTACTCATTTTTTAGACGGCATTGGATACATCAGATACTGGGTGAAAGGAACAATTGTAAAACCATGGAAATTCGATAAATATACAACGCAAGTGTTTACTGTTCTTGATACATTGGATCTGAACAACATTCCAAATATATCTGTAAGTTTGATTTAAAGGAACAAGCATAAATAATAGCAGACAGGCGGAAGAGCACGGGTATTGGCTATCAAATTTGAAATATATTATTTCTAGGGAACGACGAAAAAATCACCCGTCTTCAAGTTCAGAAAATGCTCATTTTTAGTTCGTTAACATGTTCATCTTTAAATATTACAATCGTGAGTGGTGGCAATGGCAAATAAATGAAAAATCTCTGCCCCATATTGGTAAGGTGCTAAAAGTTAGGGTGCGGTAATTATTTTTGTCAACCGAAAAAAAGGAAATTTTCACATCCTTTACTCTCCTCTGATTCTCCTCTCTTTCTCATTCAAACAATTTATCCTCTCCACACTTTTAAATCACAGACTCCTTCTGGAAATTCAGACACAAAGACTCTTTGCTGCTGGTGTTGTACCAGTGGACCGATCGAGGCAGAATTTCACACTGACAGATCTGGTTACGTTCCAGGGGAATATATTTTGATCAATGCTGCCATCACTAATTCTAGGTACTAAATCGTTTAATTAGCTATCAAAATGTATTCTACTATTCTATTTTACTACTACTACTTAGTGTTAGTTTGGTTCACATCTTCTGCCTGTGATATAAATGATGTTTCTGCCAATGTACATATTTTTTTGACTCAGTTACAGCAAAGTTAAATACACGTCCGCAATGTTAATGCAAAATGTGACGTATCACGCAACAACCAAGACAAGGATTGATTCCCGAGTTGTCAACACAATAATGGGGCCTGGAGTTGATAAACGTGCGACTGAAAACTGGACTAACAAAAGACTTCATATTCCCCCTCTACCCCCATCTGAATCACTACACTGCAGAATTATTGACATAACTTATTCTGTGATTGTGAGTATTCTAAAATGAAATCGTTTTCACGATAGGAAGCACTGACTCAATATTATATTTAAAATTTAATTTTGCACAGTCGCTATTATACAGCAATAAACAAAAAAATATATTGAAACAATTTTCTACTCTTGAATCAGCAGAAATGCGAATGCTTATATTATTGTTCTTATTTTCAGTTCCAGGCTCACCTAAGAACATGTGCCGTAGACATGCGTTTATACGCGCCAATCACAATAGGAACCATTCCTATTCGCAGTTTACAAATGTATAGGAACCCGCCCCCGTCAATTGGTAACCAACGACTTGCCGTTGCACCAAGCGCTCTTCCAATCCACAATTTTCCACCCAACACCTCGCCAAATCCAGAGCAAGCAACAAGCGCTTATCCTACGCGGGGAACTTTTTATTGTAAGTTTAATTTTGTACTTTCATTTGACTCCGTAAAATAATTTACTTTACCTTAAGAATAATTCTATTCATATTACACCTTGTTTGATTACAGCGCCCCCTCCCTCGTACCCGTCAGCAACCGGGGGTGGAGCAATAATAAAAGATGACGATTATGGATATACAATGGGAGACACATCTTTCACGCCTCAGTATACTTACTACGATTGGAATCAATCGACTTTCACTTCCAATAAATAAGTGCTTGACGACAGAATTTTATTTATAGTTCTTATAAATAATAGTGACGCTTGAAAAGAACTCAAAGAGAATTGATGTATTTAGCTGTTTATACTTATATTTTATATATAGAAAGGAATTCTTACATAAGAAGAATTCTCACAACCGGTGTCAAAGAATGATATTTACAAAAACTATATATATGTCATCACACAGAGGGTCTATATGTAATTTCGGGCACTACATACACTCCCGAATTAAGCAATATTTTGTTAAAAATAGAATAGAAAATCAAATTTAAGATCAGGCAAGAAGAATATTGAACTTATGAATCATTACAACTAATCTTTGTTCTAGATACCCAATATTTCAACCCAAATATACTGCAGTGGTTTTATTTTAATTGAGGGACAAACAACGGATATTCGTTACAGATGATTGTACTTTTTCGAAAATTTATACATTCTTATCCATTGGATGAATTTTACAAAGCGTATTGCGTATCTATATTTACATAAATTCTTGTTAAGCTTAAGTTAATTGCGTGGATGTGATACTTGGAACGTCATACTTGGAACACACAAGTCAAGTTCTTGAATTTTGTTCGTCCGTATCACAAATTCTATGACGATTTAATAACTTTATTACTCTACTATACATGTCCGAAATTGGCACACTGAAAACATCAAGTTGCTATTTCCTTTAGATTTACTTACGTTAATCGAATCACAATCAAGAGCAACTGCCGACGGTCAATCATAAATAGCACTGTATTAATTTGCCCGAGGCGTTGGCATCGTGTATGCCATAAAATGTGAACAAAAAGTATTTGCATCATCACTTGTATTAATCATATTCATATTTCGATCATGTTTTATCAAAATTCTATATGGAACAAAACCAGAAAATATTGAAAAACCGAAAGCCTAAACCCTATTAGTCGGATTCTAAATAAGAAATTTACAATTACTATCAAACGTTTGTCGAATTCGTCCATTGGAATTGAAACAGCACAAAACAATATGTTTAGAATATTTATGCATGAAAGTGAACGTAATGAGCACAAACGGTTATTCATACTCCAAACGATGAAAAATGAAAAACAAGGTTTATTTTATTCATTTAAACTGACAATTTTACAAATTAAAAAAACTTCTTGGAAAGTTACAATTTTCTGTTTCCGATATCCTTGTTACCGAATAAATGGAATGATTGTGATCAATTTTAGAAAGTTCCCGCGTGCGTTCCACTACTGTTCCAGATTTCTTTTTTGTTTCGTCCATGGGATGAATTAAAATCCAGACTCGGTCCCATGTGAACTATTCCGAATGGATTGACATGAAGATGACTCATCTGAAAATGCAGATCAAACGATATTCATTTCAATATCAATAATTTAACGTTATTATCAAAGGAGCGTCTTCGCTTTTATTTTGAATGTGGTGTCTATATTCGATATGTTACAACCCATCTATGACATCCCCAATAAATACCAATTCATAAGCTTCAAAACCCACTGATGTTATCACATTGTTTTCGATCTCTAGCTATTCTAAGAAGTCTCATGACAATAAACCAGTCTTTTCAAACATATTTATCATTTTTTCTCTAGTTGACGACAAAAATATGAGTATTAGCTTTAGAATATTTTAAATTTTGGTCGTAATAAATGATTTCTGTTGTAATTGTTTTATAGTGAAAATAAAAACCATGTATTACCATGTAATGTTTTCGAATATGTTCAAAATTCGTCGTTTCTGCAAATCCAGGAGTCTGATACAAATCTCTTAAGAATCCCCATAAGTTGGGATAATCTATAATTCGTTTCTTGTTGCACTGAAACATAATGAGCAATTAGAAATAATGAATGGTAGAAATGATCATGCTCAATATTGTTCTCAGTAATAGAAAATATCAGTGATTCGCCTGTAACGTTTTGTTCACTAATCGATATTTTAAAAAGGGATTTTTTTTGTTGCGAATTTAGTGCATGCCATTACCTTTGGGCAGTTTATGCTCAAGATTTTCAATATGCTTACATCACCCCACGCAATTTTAAATTTGCTTGGTAAAAAACACGAAAGCATCAATCTCTGCACCAAAAATATTGATACCTATCATATTGAGCAACACTAGGTGAGAAATTCTAACTACATCTGTGAAAAATCGCTATGAAGAGATTAAAATCCCATGTTTCGATGAATTATATTGAAGGTCATTTTGGTGAGCAAGCATGCTATTAGAAGACAAATTACCTTGAAATGTCCATGATAGACGTGATCAAATCTGGCAAGAGTTGTATACAAACGAACATCGGCTTCAGTCAAACGATCCCCAACGAGATATCGAGATTTACTTAAGACTTGTTCGGCCTGGTACAAACGAAAAAAGATTTTCCAACTTTATTCAAACGAGTCTCGTAGATAATACCGTCTTCTCTAACAGATAAACCAAATTTATAGCCTACTTTATCCAAGTGTTCGAATAAATTTTCAACTGCTTTATCGTAAGATTCCTGTTCCTTTGCGAATCCGCATCGGTAAACTCCGATATTGATGAACCTAAATGAATACGTGTCAAATATGTTATACATCTTCCACACTGGTGAATATCGGGGTGGACGACGTGTGAACTGGTACGCCCACAACCAGAAGTAAATTTTATTTTATGCCACCACTAAATGAATCATGAATAGATCACTTCTAATATTAGCAGCAAAAGTACTTCTCTATATAATTTGCTCCCAACGAACAGTAGTCTTGCTGTCACAGGGTTTTTAATCTTTTTATTAAACTCAATAAAATAAATACACTTACGGAAAAACCCATTCATTAATCGCATCAATTTGAGGCCGAAGTTCTTCTGGGTAAATGTCTACTGCTCGTTTTTGGTCATCAGCACAAAATTCATCAAACTCTTTCGTAAACATTCGTATTATTTCACTCGATTCGTTATTGACTATTTGATTCGTTTTCTTGTCAAATAATACTGGAACAGATACTCGTCCTTCATAACCTAGAATAGAAGAAAAATCAATATCAAAGTCATTAGGAGTTTTATAAAGTTTCTAAGCTGTTGACATTCAAATTTGTAAAATACATGAGAAAACGTTGTGGAAATTATGGAAAAATGTGTAGATCAAATCTATGATTGAGAGCGAAACTGATTAATCTAGACATAGTTACTGGAGTTCATATTGAAAATTGTTTCATCGTGGTGATGGTTCTATATTTACAATATACGGATGACAGATCATGCACAACCATGTTCATCAATCAGAACTTCTATTTGAGATAATATGAAGTCGTAACATGGATAAATGATCCTAACATCGAGGAAGAGATTACGCGGGAAAACAAAATCAAAAAAAATTTGATCATAAAACTTCATAATTTGAATAATAGCTATCATATATAATTAAATGTTATTTTACCAGTTTTTATGTACAAGTTTAGAGGTCAAAGGTCGATAGTTACATAAAATTTTATCGTACAAAAATAGAAAGTTCGGTTATACCCGGTGACACCTTTTGGTATATTTCTTTCAGATACTTTGCATCAAAAATGGGGTCTTTTTCACACTTGTCTACCTGGAAGACAAAATTACTTTCAATTTTTGAATAATCAACATTAATTTAGTTTCAATTCACAAATAGAAACAACAAAATTTTAACGTTAGCTTATGCGAGATTTACGCGACTCACTCTGTTTATATTAAACATGTAATTTACCTCTGGATTAAAGCGCCATCCTTCCTTCGGCATAAGAAAATCAACTACGGTGTATGAGATGACGTCCTCTAGCCCTTTCAACCTGACATGAATATAGAAGATACAAAAACAAATTGATGATGGATTAATTTAAGATAAATTGATAGTTTGTTTATTAAGCAATGACAAATTTGATAATCATTTGAAATATATGAGACATCTACTGGGCCGAGGGAAGATAAAACAAAACCCATTAACAATAAGGAACCAAGTAAATATTTGTTTCTTACTTGCGTGTGATGAGTGTACGATGTGCCCATGGACAAGCTAATGAAACATACAGATGATAACGATCTTTCTCTGCTTTGTAACCGCTGGAGCCATCAGCTTGAAAAATTAAAGTTTACTTTAAATAAAGTTGAAATCTTTTCGAACAATAACCTCCGAAATAATATGTACATAAATATTAATCCCATCCATGAATGTGCTTAGACTTATTTTACACTTACAACGCCCTCCATTCCCATGTTGTCAACAAGAAATGATAATAAACACAAACTTCAGTGCAATAACTTTACTGTTAAATAGATCCCAGACACATGCTCATCGATCTTGTAGAACGATGATCTCACGCGGATTTGATTATACGATCCTAATAGAGCAGCCAATAACGACAAAAGTACTATTTCGAAAAGTGAATTATCGCAAAGGCCCTTTTTGTGGCTACTATTTTGAATTGCCACTAATGTCACAAGGACAACGAAGGATAAATTTACTATAGATAGGTAATGGTTGAAGCTGCAAGCGTGCACAGCAAACTAAATATTGCTTCAGTATCATGTAAACGCTTACTGCCACCTGAGCTTCAACGGTAACAAAGTTAGATACATGCATATATGTAGCTGTAGGGCTTAACAATGAAGACACCGTCGTCATACTCGTAGTGTTATTGCGAGATTTATGACTTTAGTTTAGTTATAATTCTAAATGTTAAAGTTTGTCTATAAATGTTTCAAGTCCGCAACAAGTTTTAAAAGTCTAACTATTAACCAAAGTCAGTAAAATTAACTACAATTAGATAACTACTATAGATATATATCTACACGTGCTCCGAGCAAACTCGGAGATAAAATAAAAAATTATAATGCCTAGATTTGAATATATTTCGAGTACATATGGAAAGAAATCTCACAGAACAAATCGCACATGAATATAACCCAACGAGCGCTTCCAAACGAACCAAACGAACATTTTAAATTGTACAAGGGAACTTCTGGAAATTGCAAGATTGAAATCTAATCTTTCTTAATTACAAATCATTAAAATTTTGTTAATTATTGAGAGCTTAATTACCAGTAATCCAGTTCCTAAATATAGTTCCTGGTGGCACAGTTGAAGATGTGTCCTTCTGTCCTGCTTTCGACATATCGATGGCTGAGAAATAACAGCGAGGTATTCGCAAGCAGGGTAATATTTCTAAACTACTAAAAATCTGTCCTATATAGGCCAACCTGCGCAGACGCCCGGATTTTACAGGAAACTGATGCGTAGTAAACGAGAGTACACGGTTCGTGTTATTGATAAGGCGGTGCGTAGTAGCATAGCTGCAGTTGACACGAAACATGATTTAGTTTAGAAGGCCTGTAAGATTTCGGCCTAGCGCGTTATGGTCAGTCGGTATTTGTTTCGCCCGTAGGGAATTTGGTTTCGCATTGTGGGCATAAAGTATAGATTCAAATTAACCACTCTATTTCATGCCGGTACAATTGATTAAACTGCCAAATATGTTTGAAGTAATATAAATATTTAATGTTTATGTTATTTTAGCTCGTCAACAGATATTTTTCAAGTCTTACCAAATGTGGGCCGAATGCATTCCAAGTCATATTTCATCCGCTTGTTTAACATATTACAAAAAGAATGTTTGTGGACTGACGTTACTAACTCCTCTTGTGAGCGGCCCATTGCTAGAAGAGGTGCATCGTTCAAGAAACTTCTATAATCGTGAATTGACAAATGAACAATGACCTTAAATATTGCCGAACACTTAAGCTGACTTCATCTTTGTAGTTTCTAATATTTTTAATAGTGGCATTTTACAATGATTACTCAGAAGCCCTCGACCTTAAAATTATAACATTCCTCTTCGAGACACTCGGCCTTTTTTTTGCTTACCCCGGTATTTGAATAGGTGTGATATGCTTTCAGCTTTTATTTACTTTCTAGTTGAATGGCCGGCATATGAATGTTTCAGTCGGCGTTCGCTCGATATGGCATATATTGTACATTTATAAATTAAATATGACACCACATACGAGCGGAAAGAACTATCCAAGCGTGACTCAGGATTTCGTTGCAGAAATCAGACGCAGCCGGCCGGCGCAAAGCCTTGCACGAATTCATTTCTCTTTCGTTTCATTGATTTGTCCAGGACTTTTCTCACCGTGACTCAGCGCTCGCGATGCGGTATCGATCTATAATATAAACTGTTGTTCAGGGTAGTGCATTGTAGATGTGACAGCGCGGCGTCTACTTGGTATTAGAATTATAAACCATCTCATACAGGTTCAGGTTTACCTCAACATATCGATAAGTGGTAGCTATTTTTGATTAGATATTAGCTTATATATATATAGAAAATATAAAATGGCGAAGCGACAGAGTAGCAATCCATTGCAACATTTTGCCCTGCAGGCTCGGTTGGAAAATCTACGGCTACGTTTGCCAATAAAGGCTTAGTATATTTTAGCAGAGCATAGTTAAGTAATATTTTTTGGTGGAATTAATTGTTTGAAAACAGTAACTAATAGCTACCCATGCCAGATATGGCAATATTCCATGAAAACCACCTTCTTTCACTCGCCACATAAACTTTTTTCGTAAATGAAGGCTTACATGGTAAAATCTTATGGTCAGCGTGACAAACTTCTATCAATCAGGAAGCATTATCGCGTTACAACTCGTCAGAGTAACACAAACGTTTAAACAAAAGATGGCTTATTCTCAGTTCTGTAAGTTTGACAGTGTTTTGAAAGGGCACGGAGAGCCATACCATTCTTTGAAACTCGATTACTGTCAATTCAACATTATATATAGACAATCAATGCATATTTCTAGAAAATTATTCACTATACTTTTAAGACGGAACTATTCACTTTCGAAAATGGCGCAAACTGCTAAAAAGGACGATATAATGGGTACGGCTATCAAAAATGGTGAATTCGTGCGAGCACCGTCATCTTTTCGAAATTGGATAACAGGTATGAAAATTTGTTCAGAGTTCGAATGCGTAAAATCAGCTTGAAGTTGTTACTGGTTAGTCGATGTCAAAATAAGAACGTGCCATAACCGTCGAGTTTGTAATACGACACGGCAAAATTGAGTTCATTTTTTTAATTGGAAATCTTCGTTCAAAAAAGTCCACATACGCAAAGTAAACCAAGTTGGATCAAAAACGAAACAGCCATTTGCGATAGTTCAAAATTGTATAAACGCATTCTGGCACCCACCCTTTGTACAAATTGGTGGGAGTATTATATGAAAAAATCGTCTTTCGCCATAGAAATCTCGAACTTTTGCGAATTAATATATATATATATATATTTTCAACTTTAGCCGACGGTTCGAGTGGATTCAAGGCAGAAGCAGGGCGTTATCACATTTATGTTTCTCTAGCTTGTCCATGGGCGCACCGGACTCTTATCACACGAAAGTAAGTTATGGAAGAATCGTGCAGTTAAATCAATACTAGTGATTGTATTGTTATCGTTGCAGGATTTTCACTATTACATTTTCCCAATTGTGTTTGCACGTGCAAGCGAAGTGCGAAGTATTTCACTCAAGTTTGAACCAATAAAACAATTTCATTTCCTGCATTCATTGTAAATAATATGATTAACCAAACTTAACACAAAGTTAACTAAATGCAGATTGAAAGGGCTGGAAGACGTTATTTCGTATACCGTCGTAGATTTCTTGATGCTGGACAAAGGATGGAAATTCAATGACAAGGTTAGTTATATCAGTTTGTAATACTTTGTATTGATAAAATTAGCCAAAAAATATCCAACAAAAGCTCAATAAACAATTTCAGGTCCCACAATGCACTAAAGATCCAATATTTGGAGCGGAATATCTGAGAGAAGTTTACAATATGGTTTCACCTGGTATGACGGTAGCTCTTTCATATATATGTTTTAAAACGATATCAAATTTCAAAAACTATTTGAATTTGCCTTTATTATGTGTAATTAGTATTAAATAACAATTCTCCGTTGATATTTTGTTCATGAATACTTACTTTTATGTACTCTACATTGTTTCAGATTACCAAGGTCGAATAACTGTTCCAGTCCTCTTCGACAAGGAAAAGAAAACGATTGTCAACAACGAATCGAGTGAAATAATTCGAATATTGTCAAAGGAATTCAATGAATTCTGTTCCGATGATCAGAAAAGAGCAGTAGATATCTATCCAGAAGATCTTCGTCAACAAATCGATGCAATTAATGAATGGGTGTATCCGTAAGTTTGCTTGAGATTCAGTGATTGGTCCATCTCTCGTTTCAAAATTTGAACTTTCTGCCAAATATATTACAAAAATTACAGTATTCATTTATTGCTGAGATGTTTAGCAACGTCGATGTCGTATTTTATTCATATCTGATCACAATTGCAAGGCATGTGCACGCCAATGGTTGCCCTCCTTTAGGTTGGGATTTATGAAAACGCATCAATTGCTTACATTAGGTAGTTGCTATTCCTTGTTTAAATCCTATAATTCAGAAAATAATTCATGAATACATTTGTACCTATTAAAATGTTAGTAAGAAAATGAATATAAAAACCATGAGCTAGCTGTTTACAAGTTTGATTCACTTTGTCCCCAGAATAAGGCCTAAACAATTTGATGCTGAATTATTTTCGGGGCTACTGGACCTGGAACGACCTAAATCTTTACGGATTGACGTCGCCTACCCATACTGAATGAGATAAGGGTTATGAGTCAAGAAATGACGGCGTCAGCAATAAAAATTAAAAGCGTGCATGAATCATTTGAACTTTTTACAAATAAAAACTGAGCACCGAAGTTGGCAAATCATTTTTCGTTAAAAAAAACCTGATGTTCAAAAGACGGCTAGTTGCATATTGTTCTAATTTTGTCGATTTCAGGACCATCAACAATGGCGTGTACAGGTCTGGTTTTGCTCGGACTCAGGAAGCTTACGATAAAGCAGTCGGAGATTTGTTTGAAAATTTGGATAAGGTTTGTAAGTTGATTTCTTTTGCTATACTTTTACTAACCAAATCCGGCTGATTTTATTTATTTCACCAGTTCCAATTACATCTAAATGACGGTATTTTTTTTTAATAAAGGCAGAAGAGGTTTTAAGCAAATCTCGATATCTGGTAGGTGACCGTTTGACTGAAGCCGATATTCGTCTGTTCACGACTCTTGTCAGATTTGATAAAGTTTACCATGGACATTTCAAGGTGAGGTGGTTCAATGTTCAAGTATTTAGTTCGATCGGGTAGGACATTCTGGTCATCTTGAATCTTATTTATTTTCTGTTCACGTTATTTTGAGTGTTACTCACGTTAATATTATATCTGTTCATTCAAAATCAACCAGTCGTTTTGCGTCATGGACTACTATTTTTATCTTCAACCCATTGACATATACTCAAATTCAGCTATTATCTTTAGTGTAACAGAAGACAGATTAAAGATTATCCTAATTTATGGGGATATTTGAGGGACTTGTACCAGACTCCTGGCTTTGGAGACACGACCGACTTTGACCATATCCGGAAGCATTACATGGTAAGATTTTATTCAGTCCCTATCAAGAATTTTTATAACATAAAACGATCTCTTCTAGCTGTAATGTTTTCGTAATTTGTAATATCATATAGTAAAAAACCACAAGTAATGTTATCAAGGCTTGCAATAATGATCGTTCCAAAAATCGCCGCCTTATTTGTAGATGTAAGCTTATTATTATTTACCGAGTTGCTTGGTATATTACATTGAGGCTCTGTCTGTCTTATTCACCTAAAATTGAGTTTACCTGATGTATAATTTACGAAATTATAAATAAGTCTGTGCTATTTTCAGATGAGTCATACGAGTATCAATCCGTTTTCCATTGTGTCAGTTGGACCGGATCTTGACTTCAATTCTGCACACGGAAGAGCTGAAAAATTCTGCAAATAGCATAGACATCTTCGTGATTTGAATAAAACGGAATTTAATTTTCCAAAATACCGTATGGTCTGCTTGTGAAGTTACTTCATCAAATATGGAGATTATATAGAGTTATTAAAATTCGAGCATAATCGAAGATTGGTTTGCAATTGCATTATATTGACAGAATATCCGCCTTTGCGTCGTCTTTTTGGGTTTTCCAGTATGGAATTCCCTAATATACGAAAAAGTCAAAATGGAATTGCGGTATTCGTGTGACTTACTAATAATCTAAGAAAAAGATACACACACACGCACATATATATATATATATATATTTATTTGGCTGCGATATGACGAGTAGTATGATATTAAACAACGATCTTGAAAACAAGAGAACAATGCTCTAATATTTTAGCACGTTAACCAGTGCGAAGCAGTCCTTACCTTTGACGCTACCGGTACCCTCAAAAACATTTTGAGTTTCGCGTAGCAAGAATTTACAAAATTAAACCGGACAGCTAGTGTTCCCGTGGATAAAATATTACGGCGAAATTTTGGACGAAATATCATATTTCATACGAAATTTAGAAATAAATGAAAGAAACAGCTTTTTGGCAAAAAAATCAATCTTTACCCACTGAAAATTTCAAAGCAATTGGTCCAGTATTCGGAGAAAAAAGCGATTTTTCAATGATAATGATGACGAATAACAAGAACCACAACATAATATTGAAATGACCGTTACGTCCTCTAACATATCCAATAATATGCTCTAAACTAAACCAGCGATTCCCAAAGTGGGCGAAAATAATACAGAGGGGGGAGAAAAAGTCGAATGGGGCGATTTTACGAAACCTGTTTTCGTTCGGCGCATCGTGCACCTAATTCTGTACTCTGTGTGCATTCGCTGGCTTGAATCACGTGGGCGATTATCACACGCGAAATGATTGCTGGACTCGTCTTCGCAGTAAGGTATGGTAGTTTGCGTATCCCAGTGGTCGGCAAAATACGACCGGAGTAAAGTAATCTGGCCCGGGCGATTCACTGAATGGACGTTTCCCCTACCTTTGACCACGGAAAATTCTTCCTATCTACTTTACCATTTTGAAATTTTCGGTGCTTATTTTAAGAGTAGTTTTGCGAGTTGTTGTATGTAAAATGAGGTACTCGTTTCAAACAATCATTCTAATTCATACCATTCAACAATCTGTTTTTTAAAATGACCTATAAAGAAATTTAGCCTAGCTATTTCTACCATAATTTTTTAAACACATTTCACAGCTATTTCTACATTAATTTTTGATTACTGTATTAAACTGAAAACCTCTAGGAGGACAAAGTAATAATTGATTTATTTCAATAATATTTAAATTTCCGAAAAACAACTAAAAATTAACGAATATAATTCAAAAACGCGAAAATGAGGTAATGTTCACGACCACGCCTGAAAATCTGTCTTAGTGAGTGTGTCTGAGCGGATGCCAAAGGGGGCATTGTTACGTTTATTTTTGCATCTTGGCCAATGTCACGAAGTAAACAAGGAAGTATATGCCCGGGGAAACATCCAAACGTCGGTTATGACGATGAGTTAATTTTATTTATAATCTACGAAGAGTAAATTACAATTTTTTACGTAACACAATTTATCGTGAAACACGTTTAGACTAAATTTTATTATATCCTATCTAATGAACAGCTACTCGTTTAACGAGCCTACAATTTAATTATAATTAGACAAATGGAAACACGAGGAAAAGTTGATGCTGAGGGCAGGGGTTCAATAGCGCAGTAAATAGTCGAATATATTGCAATGCAATAGGGAATTAAAATTCATATTCTATTCGTGGGATTCATCACTGCTTAATATTTGTAAGAATGTATCCTCTTGAAGAAAATCTTTATCAAAATTTCACAAATCATGCGAAAATATCCACTTCGAAGTTTGTGCAAACAATTATTTTCGAAAATGAACATTACAAAGAACAAGCAAAGAACTGGGATTAGTGATGCCCATTTAGAAAATGTTCCAATCTTGGCGTCTTTTTTGGGAGTCTTAGTTTGGGAAAATAAACTTTGTTTTCATTATTTTAATGTGAAATGGGATGAATTTAGGGAGTGAAATGCTATGAGGAAGAGTACATGGCGGTTTTTGAGGAGGTAGAACCCTGAATTCTTTCATTTCCGACCTATTATATGATGAAAAAGGGGTTTTCAGCCGTGCTACTATTGCTATCAAAACAACGAAATCGCCTTTCCATAAATAAACGGGGTAATTTTAGATATATCAAAAAACTCGCTGAAGAACATCAAGCTCATTAAAACACACTATGAACTATGATTTTTCTCCTTATTTGGTCTGCAATATATTTGTTTCTGACTTTACATTTTTTGTAGTGCCGGGGGGCGATGAAGTTGTATAAACTAGTGTAGGGAGGCGATGGTCGAAAAAGTTTGGGAACCACTGCTCTAAACAATAGGTTCTCAAAGTGCCCCATGGCTCAGTGAGAGAAACCTAGGGCTCCGCGAGCTATTCCTTTACTTATCAAAATACTGACTTCGCTAATTTTGTAACTGTCCAAAGAAGCAATAACGGCATCAATAAAATTTGACAACAGTAGCGCCGAAATCTGGCAACAAAGTGGTACGGTAAGTTCCAACAGATAAAGCCACATTTCAATTACCGCTTTAGTCGTTAACACATTGAGACACTGCTTTATTGATATGATTGTCAAATGTATTTTTTTAAATGTACAGAACAGCTAACACATTCGAGTCACATTAAATAAAGTAATTTTAATTCACTCAGGAACTTTAATCTGTAAGTAACAATGTGTTTTTTTGTTTTTATTATTTTTAGATATTTATTGTAGGGTTACGTAAATAATCGTCAATTTCTTTATGGGCTTCATATCACCAAAAGTTTGAGAGCCCCTGCCCTTAAAATATTGAATCTAAAGGAAACTTGAAGAAACGGGTCCTGAATACACGTCTAAACGTACAACCAGTGCTACTGAGGGCAAGAAACTTCCCAAGTCACTCGGTTAATTAAAACTCAAACTGAGGTTTTGTTTTTCTCGGTTTCTAAAAAACAGCCTGTTTCAAAAGAAGGGCTTGTTTTAAATCAAATTTGTTTCTCTATCTTTTTTTTTATGTATTGAAATACCCATGCATCGACGTGAAACTACGGAAAAATGGTGCTGCACACACTGTAGGAATTATTATTGTGAAAAATGTAAGAAAATACTTTTGCTCCGTTACAAAAGAAATCCTTTTGAATGTTTTTGTCGCAATACTTGTACAACCATTCTGCAAATTTTTTTTATCTTTCATTGTATAAGGTGGAATTTTGCGAAACAGAGGCCACATCCAACTTCTCTTTCTATTGGACAAATAAATAGTTATACGGTATACTGATCACCTTTGATAAAAGACGCGGCCGCCGGCTCTCGACACAATCTGGCGGGTCACAACTCCCACACGTAGGTTAGACACTAGCATTGCGCCACACAGCTTGAGAATGAGATGCGTGTACTAGCGAGTCACCTGTGGGGTTTTGAAGGGTATATTGACAATAATCACCTATTAGGTTTGTACATCCATTCGTCCTCTTTTAACCCATTTAGTACAAATGAAAGAAATAAAACAGCCATTTCGAACAGCACAGGTAAAAGAAAAATTTTGTTGCAGTCAGAAGCTGTGTTTGCAAACTATCAGGTAATTTTGGGTCAATGAAATAGGTTTAAATGTCTAATAAAATGTGGATACCATGATATAGACATAGATATCCGTACAGCTAGCTGTAAGCTATATGCGCGAGTTAAAATATTTATTAAAACTAAAGAAAAAAAAGGACTTTTTATTGCGCTTTCCATAGGTTTATGCTTATGAAATTCTGTATTCCCATCGCGAATTTTAAATACATACTTATTTTTTGGGAGACTATTACAAGTAGGTTATAAAATAGACTTTTTGATGGTTCAATAGCCGGTGGCGATATCGATTTTAAATTTCTGGTGCAAAGTCCCAAATGTCGAGCTAAGATATGAATCCGTTATAGAATAAGATCAACCAAAATTAGCTTCTTTTTTTTTAAAGAAAATAGTTTTATATTGCTCATATGTGATCTTTTAAAACTAAAAGGAATTCTTAGTCGTAGCCGTAGTCGTAGCTAATACCGTAGGTAGTGTAAAAACCAGTGGCTTCAGTTTATAGCCGATATAATATTATGTTTTGACGTTGTGTTGTATGAAGGCAGGGGGGAGCGATCCAATTCCAATCCCTAGCTTGATCTCTATCGCAACCTCTTTCCGCGATTGCCCGATCCTAACTCCCAACAACAAATACAAAGATAAATTGAAATATTATTGACAACTTGATCATCACAATTCTACAGTATCTCACGGATTTATACTGTTCCATTCTGTCCCGGCTATTAGGTAGAAAATGGATTGTTATGATGATTTTGTTTTGTCCTAATTCTAAGAGTTAGACCCAGTTTACAACTAATAATAATAGTTTTGCCGAATTACCGAAATACAGTCAACATGATGTGATTGTGCCTACAAGTTAGCTCGTGCGTTTGTTTGCAAGCTGAATGAAAAACGAACACTCTAGTTTGAATTTTTGAACATTGTACCAAAGCTACTTCAGGAATTTGAAAAACAACAATCAGCACAGGCCGGCACAATACAAATATAACAACTTCAAATGTAAAATGTCCTTTTTGAATTACATAATTTAGCATTTGTACATCTATAACATTTGTCTAAAACAGCTTTTGTTGTTACTCCGTTTGAGAATAAAATACAATGTAATTTGAACGTATTTCTAATAAAACATATTAGACTTTGACCCGGATGTATGATGCTTCTGTCACTTTGAAGTACTGTAGTTGAATTTAACATTTAACGATTGTTCAAAACCCAACAATCGCCCATCTTTACTTATTACATAAAAGATAGTTATCGAGAAAAGACATTCGAGCGATTGTCTTGCGGCAATATAAACACTTCTTTGAGGTCATGTGACGAACGTTGTGTGGTATGACGCTCTTCATTTTATGCTGAGTCACTATTCTGGTTTGTTCTTACTGGTTTTATGCAGGCTTGTGCTGGCTGGCGGTCTTAGTCAAAAGCCCTTGTGCGAAATATTTTTATTCTGCTCTAGTCTGTATTTGATTTATAGGATACCGTATTAAGATCGGAGGTTTCCACCACTTCATTTTGCTGGCGTCTCGCAGCCGCGTGTTGGACGTCAAGAAACAGTTTTGTAAAATAAAATAGGTACCGTATTCAGTTTTCAACATGACGGAAAATATGGAAATTCAGTCAGCCGATGGTCCGCAACGTTGCACCGAAAATGGCTGGTTTTCGTGGCTGAGGTGGCGGCCGACATCACTGAGGTCGTTGATTAAATCCGAGGAAAAAATGATGTCAGTTGTGAAGTCTAAACACCAGAAAGAGTTTGTACGTTTGCCAAACGGGAATATGATATGGACACTGATGTTCAACAAAGAAATTGAAGACAAGACTCCTTTGGTGATGGTTCACGGAATGGCCGGGGGTATCGGACTGTTTGCCTTGAACTATGATGCACTAGTGGGAAAACGACCTGTTTACGCATTTGATCTACTTGGATTTGGACGAAGTAGCCACCCAAATTTTGAGAAAGATGCAATAGATTCAGAGAATCAGTTTGTCGAATCAATAGAACAATGGAGAGATTCCGTAGGGCTGAATAAAATGATTATTCTTGGTCATAGTTTTGGTGGATATCTAGCCAGCAGTTATGCTCTGAAATATCCAGAAAGAATAGAACATCTTATACTTGCTGATCCATGGGGATTTCCTGCATGGAAAGCAGACGATACAAGAGTACGGCGCATACCATGGTGGGCACGTGGACTGGTGAAAGTGCTTTCTCCTTTCAACCCCCTGGCAGCTGTGCGAGGAAGTGGTCCTTTAGGGCCACGTTTAATTAGACTTCGTGGTGATTTAGGAGAAAAATTCAATGATTTATCAGAAGAAGATGATCCTTCTCCTGTTTTTGATTACATATATCACTGCAATGCCCAAAACCCAAGTGGTGAAGTCGGATTTAAGAACCTCACTGAAAAAATTGGCTTTGCATTAAATCCAATGATTGAAAGGATAGGTGGATTAAAGCCAGGAATGCCAGTCAGTTTTGTATACGGTGCTCGAACTTGGATGGACAGTAAGTGCGGTAACCAAACACAAGAGTTACTCCCTGATAATGATGTACAAGTATATTCTATAAAAGCCGCTGGACATCATGTTTATGCAGATCAACCTGATAATTTTCACAAGGTCGTGAACTCTATTTGTGAAAATATCAAATAAAGGCCAATATATGTAAAAATCATCCACCGCAACAAAAACCTGAAAGTATTTTCATGTACTACTTATGTTTGCTTACATCATGTTCTATTCACTTATTTAACTTTAATTCAAACCTCAAGGAAACGCTAATGCTCATCTCAAACATCTCAACAGTATGATCATGGCTCTTTAATTAATAGCATATATGACAGATGCATGGCTTTTGCCTGACATGATTTTCTTTGAAAAAATGTGTTTGAGTATGCTGTTTTTGATACTGATTCATGGAAACTACAATTTTTGATGTGGGGTATTTAATATTTGTCAGTAAATGCTGAGTATCTTGAAATCTCTTTTATTATACTGGTCACTTCTTTCTTAGTATTTTCATTACCCACTGTACACTGTAATTATTATGGCCAAGTATATTTTTGGTCTATTTATTAACTGAATAATGCGCAGTGGAAATGTGTTGATAACAGAACTCCAAAAACGGCACTATAACAACTACCTAGGTAATAAAAGTGGGTATTATTGTTGTTAAATTTCAACATATTACTTCATTACCATATATCTCAAATGCTACATTCGTATTTGATTTTCGAGGGACTTTGAAATTGACAGACACTAATTTCATTTTAAAGATCACAACAATCCTCACTTCTCCTTCTTATTGCACTTTAATTCTAACTTTTCCTATTTGTTTTAAATGTTTTTAGCTCTTTTTTTCATGTGCGATATATTTTACTTTTTAATTTGCTAATTGTCTTGATAGTATCTACTATAAAAAGGAATCATTGGGCAGCACGTTTTTCCTTTGTAATTTTCATGTGCGATATATTTTACATTTTAATTTGCTAATTGTCTTGATAGTATCTACTATAAAGAGGAATCATTAGGCAGCACGTTTTTCCTTTGTAATGTTTCAGCAATCTTCAGCAACTTGGGAAGGTTCTTATAGATTATTGACCAGATTGTTATTTTATAAACTTGATATTATGTGATATGTTGTGTGGGGACTTAATTATGACGCTTTAGTAATAGCTTGATGCGGGCTTAATTATATTAGCCAAACTCAAAACATCAAACAATAGTGATCATAGGAGACCGAATTAAAGGAAAATATTGAATATGATTGGTCTCTCTTTCTTTTCGAAAAATGATGCCTGGCTGTGTTTATATTACAAATGAATATATTATAATGGTTCTTGATTTTCGAAAATACAGTTACATGGAATTGCCATTAATATTTATAGTTTCAGTAGTATTTGCCATTCCGATGTTTGCCAAGAAATAAGTCTCCGTATCCTCTCGATGAGTGCGCATGCTGTTCAGCAAGTTCTCTTAAAAAAGTTCTCCTTTACAGGCCACAGTCGGTCAATAAACAGAAACGATACATATTGCATCTACAGAACGTTAGCCTAACATTGCCACATACATACATTGTAACAGGGATGAGCTGGAAAAATCGTAACAACCGGAATGCACCAAGTTCGTGAAAATGTATAGGGTGTCCGTAAAGTCTTAAAAAAATTTTAAATTGCAAAATGAATTTATCGATAGCTCACCACTGCATTGTGATATACATTATAATATATAGTGCACAAACCATGTAAGCAACGATCTCTGTTCAATAAACCAGGTATATATGGGCTTTGCAATAAACTTCATCAGTGCATAGTGAGTGGCAAAGACGACAGTTTTTATCTCATGGTAAAAACAAATAAAGACCCGATATTCAATGCGCAGATGAAAAGATGCGAAAGACATTTATTGTAATTAAGGGAATATTACCTATTTTTTCAATTGATGAACGATCCGGCGATACGATTTTGACACGATATGGCACAATTGAATACTATTTCCTGCTCTCATCTATCCGATTGGCTGATAAAATATTTTATATGAAACAAACAGACGACAAAATATACTAGCAGTGATGGTTATGCGCGAGAGGATTGCTGGACTCCTCGCCGTCGTTGGGTGGTTCACGTAACCGCTGGTCGGTTACGGCTTCCTCCACCACCAAGTCCATGCTTCCGAAAACAAACAATATAACTAATCCCATACCCGACTTGGAATGGTAACCGGGCGAGAGGCCGTGGTTCGCCATATGGATAAGCCGTCTTATCGGCTTTCCTCTCCGCCGGGATAAATATGTATATCCTATCCTAACCACGGCCTCTCGGTTACCGGTCCAGGTCGGGTATGGGATTAGTTAGCCAGTTATTTGTTTTCGGAAGCATGGACTTGATGGTGGAGGAAACCGTAACCGACCAGCGGTTACGTGAACCACCCTACGGCGGTGAGGAGTCCAGCAATCCTCTTGCTTGCACCAATGACATTAAACAACATGATGCGCAACTCAGGCATTTTTGGTCGAAGATCGTATCCGATAGCACGCTCCAATGCACATACTTGACGAGACGAAAACGAGCGGATGTGTGCTGCTCTCAAGGCATAGCACTAATGGTGTTCGTTCCTGCTTTGACAGTTGTTGTCGATTTTAATGATATATTGGAAAATTGAAGGTAAAAAGAAATCGGAAAAAAGTAAGGTAAATACTATTGTTGTATATCACACCCGGGCATTGCACTGTTAAGTACATGTGGGAAAGCCAGCTTTTGTCAAATACTACGAAGTTATTAAATCAGTACGGTACGTAGTTGCCTATTTGCCGAAATTGCATATTTACTTACCCCTTACGGTTTCAAATAGTTCATGCACCTCCAATTAGATTATTTTTAATCAGTGAGGATATATACTCATTGCTGTAACATACTATTGCTCATTCACTTTTATTTGCGTATTGAATCAAAGGGTTAACAAGTTCACCTAACATTTCACTCATACCGGTCTATATTGTATAGTAATTTTCTGACTAAACCCCTTTATTAGTTGGTTTATATACCAAATTCAGTAAAACATTTTTTACATAAAACATGAGATATTGGATTTATTAGCTTTTCCAATCTAAATCATATAGACTGCTTTATTTATTCTTAACGAACATTATTAAATCTCCTCTCTTTCTTTAGATGTAAAAGTTGTGGGAAAACCTGTCTAAGCATTGTGGGACTCCTGCAGCACAAGAGGCAATAGCAAAAATAGAAAGTATATCAATCAAGTAATTAAGCCGACATAAAGCAAAACTTTCAACTATTCGTCCAACCTCAATTTCCTATTATTTATTCACAGGACAACTGTAGCAGAAGGGGAGATATCAGAAGTCTGGCGACATATCAGTGACAGTGTGATTCCAAGAAATATAATGCAATTGAAAATTGCAATAGAAAAACAACCTATGGAGGCATGCAAAGACATTTGACCCTCCGGTAGAGTTGTGTATGGCCCCCACATCCTACAGGGCTTGAGGAAAATAACTAAAAATTCCAAAGCGTAAGATTGCGTAAGCGGTCTTATTTGTAAAAAGGCACAAAACACGTCAGACATACTTAAAACAGCTTTGGAAATGAGGATTACGGGTACCTCACTGCACCTGTGTTATATTTGGTTCATCAACTTTTGGTAGTACTATAGAAGAAATTCCGGAAGGGGTATAATCATCATTCATGATAAAATACTATCATATATTTTTTGAACAACTTCAATCTAGACCAGGGATCTCAAACTCGCGGCCCCAGAGAACTTCCAGTGCGGCCCTCGAACGCTTAACAATAATTGTAATAGTATTTTGGAAGTTTTTTTTTTTATCTAAATGTAATAGATTTTTCAAACCTTCTAAAGTGAAATTGATTATTCACACAGAAAACAATTTACTGAAAGTAGTTTTGGAATATTGATTTTTTTTGTCCACATTTTGACCCAATTAAGAATGCACATCAAGCTAGCAAAAGATACTTGAATAAAACACTTGAGTGATTAAATTCAACGCAAAGTACATGAAGAAGGTGGCATTTTCGAAGAAAATGGGAGTTGCAATATTTCTGCATTTCACAAAATTCTGAAGCACATTGTTTAATTTTTCATATTTCCATCATAACAATCAAAAAACACAATAAGCTCAGCAGTCAATATGACAAATTCGAAGACCAACTTCGAACAGAAAATTTCCATGTGTTTGTATATTAATATAATTATACAACGACTTGGTTACTAAAAATCAATATCAATAATAATTCAAGCAATCCTATGCCACGCAATGTAGTGCGAAATGTCTTGTCGAAAAAATCTGTCATTTGTTTTTTTACTGATCTATACATGAAATGATAAAAGTAACTTTTTTGCATTACTGGAATTAATTAAACATTCGTAAAGATCCAGATAAACCCATGATCATGTGGCCTCGTTAGTTAGAGTTGGTACTATAAAATCATTTCAGACTGGCCTTAGTATGCTGGTGACACAAAAAAGATGCCAAACGCCAGGACAAATGTAATTATTAAAACATTGAGTTTATACTGTAGTATTTTTGTTAATTTTAGGTTCATATATTTAGATTAAGTTATTTTTAGTGTATGTATTATTCTTTCCTTATTCAAAGCTTGTTCAAAAATGATTTTGATGGTTGTACATCAGGGGCGCAGCCAGGGGGGAGGTTACATGGGTCGTAACCCCCCCCCCCCCCCCCCCTTTGGAATATTTTTTTTTTTTTAATAGTGTTACGTTTACTTGCAATAATTTCATTCTTTGCGTTATCACTTTCGCCCAGCGTCCTAATTTATTATTTATGTTTACGATTTGTTATCGCTGTTACGCGGCAGTGGATCTAGTTGCCAGCGGGGTTCACGGAAGTGACAATCTACACTAAACATTTTCAAATACAATTGTACTACCTTCTTTCACTTGACACAAATAGCAACAGACGTATCACACTATTGCCGTCAAAACTATTCCACAAGCGCGCTCTCGCCTCGCCACATTCAACGCATCCATACTTTTAATCACATACGTTATCGTTGGTTATCGGCTTATCGCTAATTACGAATTTTAGTTATGTAGTGCATCTTTAACAAGCGATGGCACCAGGATCATAAGCAAATAACAGACAAAATGAATTATTGGAAATGTATGGTTCATTAACAAAGGATTGCCAAATGTGGCAGCATCGAAAAAAGGTGTCATAAAATAATATTCAATCTTCGAAAACAAAGCATTGCAAAATAATGTTCAATCTTCGAGTAAAAAGTATCGTAATATAATGTTCAATCTTCGGGAAATTTTTTTTTAAAGAATAATGTTCAATCTTCGAGATTTTTGGGTAGCAAACTCGTCCAAGACTCGTTTGGAATCGTCTGTCTGCGAAAAGCAGTTACATGCGTTGTCTTCCAGATCTTTTCAATAAACTGGTCACAATATGTTATTAAATTATAATTAAATTATTATAGTTAAATTATCGCTGAAAGTGAAGAAGCGCTATGTGCAGAATGCAGCTATCACGGGCGCGGGATTTCAAATTCGCGACGATTTCACTTTCAGTAATATAGGTCTCGATGCATTGCAATAAAAATTAGAATTTATTAACAGTTAATTGCAACAAGCAAGAGTTTTACATTGAAAGACGTTCCCAATCAGTACGATACATGAGCTTGTTTTTAAATGATTGTAATCGTTTTATGAAGTTATAAATACGGGAACATCAAATATATTTATTTTGGAAATGGATTGATATTTCGTGACGCACTCAAAAATAGTTTATGAACCATTGGCATTTGGCAAATATCATTAATTTATGCTATTTCTTAATGTTTCATGATTGCTAATATTTCATTCTATTCTTATTTTACATTTTTTGCGGTATTTCAATTAAAATCATGACGATGGCATTTTACTTAACTGTTGACAATGGGGTAATAATCGGCGATTACTAAAAGGTTGAAATGGGACATGCCAAAACAAAATAAACGAATTGACGCCTGTCAAAGGGGGCAGGGTCTGTTGACAAATAGCCACATGTGTCGGTGTTTCTCTATCATCGGCATTTTCGGCATCACTTTGAAACTCTAAAACGCAAGGACACCCCGCGGAGTGAAGACTTTCTTTCGCATAGGGAAATATTTGAATTACGATTGCTGAATAAGCGAAAAAAACAAATGCTTATTTTCTTGCTTGAAACAATGATAAACCAATTTAACCCTGTTGCCAAAAGTAATAGCATGCATTATTAACAAACTGGTAATAATATGTTGATAAATCGCCGCTAAAAGTAGAGAAGCGTTATGTGCAAATATCACAGGAATTTGAATTTGCGACGAATTCACTTTCAGTAATATAGTTAACGGCGCATTGAAATGAAGAGTTGATTGATTTTTTTTGACCAAAGAGAATGGTCGGCGATTGCTGAAAGTAGGACATGCAAAGAAAGGCTAATGAGACACAGCGACGCACATGTTGTTTTGCCATCGTCGGAACATCTTTTTAAAGACCTATAAACGCGTTTTTATTTCACCGTAACCCCCCCCTTAAAAAAATCCTGGCTGCGCCCCTGTTGTACATAGAATTTTACGATTTTTTATAATAAATACTGTAACTTGCAAATGTTGCAATAATAGTGGAATGCAAATATTAATATGTAATTGCATTTGAAATTGAAGAAAATATGAAAACTTAATCCAACTGTTTAGTTGCATCACAATATATGTCACAAACTAAAACTATCTTAAAAATATCTTTTAAGTATACATTATCAAAAACTGTTTGCGGCTTTTTTTACAATTTTCAAAATGCAATGCGGCTCTCGAAAACCCATGAGTTTGACACCACTGATCTATTCTAGACGATTCAAGCATTGCTTTGGGAAATTATATCACTTCAATTAAATTGAAATAATCTCGCTATATTAAATACAAAATCGTTGCTATCATAAAGGTAAACCAATTCAGCCACTCGAAATATATTGGCCTTCACAAAGCAATGGAGGCAAAATTGAGAGTTCATGAGCTATGAACATTTGTTCTTTTCTTTGTCTTGAACTTTCCATACTCCACAGCCCCTATTAATTTTTTTTAATTTTAATTACCATGTGATGGTCATACATATCTTTAACTTGTATTTTCTGTCATGATGTATTATCTCAATGTGCCAAACTATTAATTAGTGTGCATATTTTGCTTCCAGATGACATAAATGTATTGTCATGTTTATTACCTCAGCTTGGAGTATTGACAAGAAAAAGGTGCCAGTAAATTAGGTAAAAAAATTTTCAACTCATTGTTATAATCAGAATTCACAATCAATAGGAATTATAAACAGCCAACAATCAGTGAGAATTATATGCGAAATCCCTCAGAATAAATTTGTCTAAAATCGGAGGAAGGCAAAAAATATAGGTAGTTTCCATCCACACAAGCATTTCAAGAAGACTTGCTCGAGCCAAACTAAATGAGCATCGTCAGGTGATCGGTAAGGCTGCAAGTTGAATTCAGCCCTGCAACCTCCTGCATAGAAGATAATATTAATTAGTGGGCTATGAGCTAAATTACTAAATTTAAACAAACCTATCTACGATGCATTATGTACCAGCAATGTTACCTACGATTAACTGAATATGTAATATGTCTAATAAATTCACCTACAAAAGCAAGTTCGATAGGTGCAAACTTTGTGTTGGAATTGTATCGCAGCACAGTTTTGTATGACACCCTCTTTAAATGAAATTTCAATGATTAGGCGCAAACATTAAAATTACTAACTTTGAACTTTGCCATTATTTGCAAAATGTTCCACACAAATCTTTCCGCTATCGCGTTTGTAATCTTCTCTGATAAAAAAAAAACGTCTATGATGTCCAGAATTGCTCTTTACAGCTTGCCTGTTATTCCAGCTTTCCAAGTAAGCAAAACTTCTTAGATATAGAGATTATTTTGTTTCGTTACAGGCGCAAAAAGGCAGGTACTACACGTAAAAAAGACGCCGAGTAGCAAAAGCGAGCGGAAAACGGACGCGAAAGGCGACGAGAAATATGTGCATTGGAGCGTATCATGAAATACAATGTTTTGCCTGTAGTCTTATGGAGTGACGTCAGAGTTGCCTATCATGTTGTTTAATGTCATTGCTTGCACATGATCATTCCCGCATGGGATGCGAACCCACGAAGGTTAATCAGAGATGCGGTGTCATTGTCAGAGATGCGCCGTCGTCATTATTTTTGTCGTGTTTCCAAAGGTTAAGTATTGCCGGTAATCAAATGAACCACTGCTCATTTTGTATGCCGAGAAGTTTTTAGCTTAGTTGAAGCAATGACATTAAACAACATGATAGGCAACTCTGACGTCACTCCATAAGACTACAGGCAAAA